CCTTCTCACCCCTTGCTTTTTCCTGTAAGACCTATTGCAGTCGTTAAGAGTCATCAACAGGCTCATCACAGCTATCTGCCAATCACCCATTCCCACCACCCTTCTGAGTAATACCCCTCCCCACCTTCTCACTATATAGAAGGATCTGGCAACTTCTGTTTCAGTGTATCTGAAGAAGTGTGCATGCACACGAAAGCTCATACCAAGAACTAACTTAGTTGGTCTTTAAGGTGCTACTGGAAGGAATTTTTTTGTTTTGACTATGGCAGACCAACACGGCTACCTATCTGTAACATGAACAAGAAAACATATATAACTTTAAACAGACTGAAATTCACAGTGTTAAATATGTAAAATCTATTGAAATGCCAGGGTAAATGAACATAGGCAGACTGTATATCTGTACAGATTTTAAATGAAAATAGAAAGGGCACAGTCTAAGGGCAAAAGTAGACTTTACTGGGAAATCCAGGGTTCCCCATTTGAAGGATCAACTGTCGGGGGAAATTATCAGGACAGAGGAGGTGCTTAAAACATTTTCCAGCCTACCATTCCTCCCCTGCCAATTCCTGCCTGCGGTGGGCATATTAAATTATTTTATTGCTACATGGTCTCAGAAACTGGAAGCAAGGAGGGGAAACAGTCCTATCAGTAGGAGAACAGGCATCTATGGGAGTGGTTAAGTGTTTCAACTGCTGATCAAGTCCACCCTGCAAACGCCTCGCAAGTCCTGCATTCAAAGCTGTTGAACAAACATGAAATTCTGCCCTGAAGGGCAGTTTTGCTTCTTGCTTCTTCTTTTTGTTCCATATAGACTGCACACATACAGGAGGGAACAATTTTTCTTTTGGTGAGCAGATAAGATGAAGATTGCGGCCTGGGTAGTTGGCTTTGCTCGTGGGTTGAAAAAGCAGTTGTTTAAAACTATAGTACGATCAGTTTCAAGAATGTTAACATTTCTCAAAAAGAAGATAATCTGTATCTAGAGTTTATAGAAGCAAAAAACAAGTATCTAGATTTTATGGTAAACATCCCCCCCCATAATATAGCCAGAATCATCATCATCATCGTATAGTTCTTGAGCATAGTTCTGTATACTCAATGGGGGCATTAGGGCTGTTTTTCTTCAAAACAGGAGCACCCGCTCCAGCTTTCCATATGGCATAACAAACTGCTTTTGAAACTGCAACCGTAAAAAGTCCAGCATGGAGTCAGCTATTGAAAGAAAAGGACTCAAAAACTCCACTGGGTTTCTGCGAACCCTTGGGCCTGGTCAGAAGTTGCTCTTTTGGATCCTGCCCAATGAATTTTGGATTGGAGCATTAGCTCAACTGATTCCTCTTCGGGTCAAAGGGAAAGCAGCTAAAGTCCCTCCACAAACACAAGAATGGCATCCATGATGTATTTCCAAGGCACGAAATGTCAACCAACGTTGGGATACAAAAACACATGAGGACATCCATCGCAAAGCAATCGCTCCCAATTATGTGAAACATGTTCCTGTTATCTTTGGAAGTTTTGCAATTTCAAAACATTCATAGCAGGAGAAGCTAACTCAAGGGCATTAGTGCATACTTCCAAGCGCAAAAATGTGATGATGTTTTTCAGAAAGTCTCTAGATGTTCACCAGATGTGACACACATTTGCCTCTTCCTTATAAGATGATGGTGTGCCTCTAAAGTTGGCTATAGTAATATCAATGTGTGATACTAATCATTCAAAAATGCCTTGCAGATATTCAGCAATTTGCAACTTGTGTAAACCTGTTTCTCTCTCAAGGCGATCCTTAAAATGCCTTGCCTTTTAAGAGTGTCTATCTGCACAAAATATGTTTTTTCTTTCTGCAAGACATCAGATTAAATAGGTCACCATATAAACTATTTAGTACATCTAGTTTCTCTCCCATATGCTGGAATTTGGCTGAGTGGGTGATCCAATATAACCAGCAAGGGGGTATTAGCTGGAACAAAGAGCTCAATATTCTGCGGTGACGTGTGTGTGATGTGCACATGCCACGTGATGTGTGCACACCACACAATAATAATAACAACAACAGATTAGCATGTTGCATGGCTTGCGTGCGACACGTCAATTGCATGCACCACAGGTTGCCCATTCCTGATTGAGAGCTATGAATTTTTTTCCAGAAAGTTTACGTATTTAGGAAGCACAGATTATCGCAGCAGTCATAATCTAGAAAACTACAGAGTCTATAAAATGCATCGGGAGATGGTGTACGAGAGGAGAAGGAGCCCACAGATGGAGGAAAAATCAGTGAGCAAATGTGTTTGTCCCTTACTTAAGTCTCCCCATGACACATTGTATTAGGATTCTCAGTCAGATCATCATGTTCCCTGCTAATAGTGGTCCCTGCTGCTAACAACTGATATTCCTAAGAAATCACCCCTGGACCCAGAAGTCTGCAACAGCTATCAACAGGTCATAAATCTTCCCTCTCTGGGCAAGGTGTTTGAATGGTGGTGGCTGTACTGGAATTCTTGGATGACACTGATGATCTGGATGCAGTTCAGTCTGGCATCCATCTCTGTTTTGGCAGCAAAACAGCCTTGGTCAACCTGCTGGATAACTTTTAGTGAGAAAAGAACTGGGAGTTGGGTGACGCTACTACCACTGACCGTGGTGTGCTTCCGGATCAGGTGTTCATAATGAGACCTGAGGAAGTTAGGACACAGCATTCTGGTGCTTTCATTCTTGCCTGGTAAACTGTTTCATGGAGATGAAAATAGGGTATGGCTGTACCCTGTGGACTTTGTGCTACAGGGTTTTACTTGGTTTGAAATGTTTGATTTTTACATGAAATGACATCCAGGGGGTCACCAATACGCTGGAGTGACTCTACTAATTTTCCTCCAATGCAGACATGCTGAATAGAGGTCTGCAGGCTGCAATGGACTGGATAAGGCTTAATCTAGAGAAAATGGTGGGTGGCTCATCTTAACAGGAGGTGGTACGCAGCCATTTAATTGCTTTGAGCTGTTCTTTTGTGATATTTTATGTTGTCTCTGTTCTAAAATGTTTAATGTGGGGGGGGGATGACAGAAGTGCCCCTAGGAGCAACATTTAATTCTAGCATAATTCCCCCATTAAAGAAAGGAATATTCTTTAAACCCATCTCCCTCAAATGCACATATTGTCTCTCCCAAATTTGCAGACTGAGAATGGGGCTGGGAAGTTCAGGAAGCACATACTGGTCAGCCCTATAAAATTATAATCCCATGAGCACTATAGGGACAAAGACTAATCTAGATGTACCGTTATATAACAGCAGCTAACATTTAGAGGAGTGCAGTTGATTTGCAATTTATTGTATTAAAAAAATCTTAAGCAGAGAGAGAAATGTATCAGAGTCTTTATTGCACAGTTCTGACTTTAAGCAGACCGTTACACCTTGCAGAAAAGAAGAATCTTGGAAAGCTAGACAGCATCCTAAAAAGCAGAGACATCACTTTGCCAACAAAGGTCCGTATAGTTAAAGCTATGGTTTTACCAGTAGTGATGTATGGAAGTGAGAGCTGGACCATAAAGAAGGCTGATTGCCGAAGAATTGATGCTTTTGAATTATGGTGCTGGAGGAGACTCTTGAGAGTCCCATGGACTGCAAGAAGATCAAACCCATCCATTCTGAAGGAAATCAGCCCTGAGTGCTCACTAGAAGGACAGATCATGAAGCTGAGGCTCCAATACTTTGGCCACCTCATGAGAAGAGAAGACTCCCTGGAAAAGACCCTGATGTTGGGAAAGATGGAGGGCACAAGGAGAAGGGGACGACAGAGGACGAGATGGTTGGACAGTGTTCTCGAAGCTACCAGCATGAGTTTGACCAAACTGTGGGAGGCAGTGGAAGACAGGAGTGCCTGGCGTGCTCTGGTCCATGGGGCCACAAAGAGTTGGACACAACTAAATGACTAAAGAAAGGAAAGCTGGCATCATGTATTATGATTCAGTACATAGGAAGTTTCCTTATGCTGGAATCATGCCAGTGGACCATTGAGTTCAGTACTGTCTACACTGACTGCCAGAGACTGTCTATGGTTTCAGAAGAGCAGATTTTCTCAGGTCTACCTGGAGAGGCCAGGTTCTGAGCCTCTGCAACGAAGCTATGATTCTTTCCCTAAGGACAGCCATGCTTTCCGAGCATTGAACTTAGAAACTCAGATTTGTTTTCCCTTAGGTCCACAGTTTCCCTCCTCACAACCCGCCGCCTGCTAGAAATAGGGCTGTGTGTCCTAGTTCAGAAAATTGCAAGCCTTATGGATAATGCAATTCAAAATAATTGTCATTTGACTGCAGCAAATGAATGTGTACTTAGGAAACAATTATAATGCCAGAGAGGAAAGTTTGCTTTGGCTCCAATTCCAAACCTATTATAAAGGTTAGGAGGCAATGGGTATAAATCCTGAGATGGGTATGATTAAGAAAGGACTTGGTAACAACTAACCATCAAAATGTATATTTTAAAATGTTTGCTTGCCTTCTGCCCTTTTTCTTCTTCTGCATTTTTTTCCTTCACTCAGAATTTAGTTCAACACAGTGCTTGTTGTTTTCTCAGCAGACTTTGCACACAGTGCTGAGCTTGTACCTCCTTTTTTAATACAAATAAAATTGCAAGTGGTATAACCATATTTTATATACAATTGGCACAATCTTGCCAAAGCCGGGCAACTTTTTAAAAAGTTTGATCCTATGTATGTTTCCTTGAAAGTAAGCTCTTGTCAGTTCAAAGATCTATAGGTCAGTTCTATAGGATTACAGCCTCAGTTGTTCTGATTACATGGGTGAGACTTAAGCACATGCTTAACTGTTCTAACCACTTCAAGGAAACTTAAGAAAGTTCAGTTTAGAGCATAATCTACAGATTTTAATGGAAGCAAAGGCTGGGGGCCTGGCTAGAATCTTGATGGTGGCCTACCTAAAAAGTGCCACTGTTAACTTCTTGGAAGAAAGAAGGAGGGACATAAAAATCTCACATTATATCTTACCTGCACAAGTAGCCTTTCAAAGGCTAGGAAATTGTCCCATTTGGCACTCTGAGGGTGTTTCAGTGTCTGCACAACAGCCAACGCAATCTGCAGAAGCCCACAATGGTTCTCAATGGCCTCAAATTTCTTTTTGAAGAGCTGGATATGTGAGCTGAGCTGCTCAGGGGTGACTCTCCCTGTGAAAGTAATTGCAGACACTTCTCAACAGTGTGCAGGCAGATGAAAGGAGCAAATGTTACCAATAGCGAGCAATACTTATGCAGTATGCTCCAGTAAGAGACAAAGTCTTTTCTCAGCTATTCATTCAGCACAAGCCTCCCCCACCCCCACCCCGTTCACAATCATTTTCTTTACCCAGGAATAGTAACTTTGGTAATTAACATGCACATATAAGCATAGCAGTGTGAAAGTTGGTGTGTACTCTCCTATGTCTCCTCTTTTTGGAACTCACAGTCAACCAAAACCAGATGTTTGTGAACTGCCACTGCATTTGTTGTGTGAATCTGATGGTTGTAGTGGGTAGGGAACAAAAGAAAACAATGGGTGCCCAATTTTCACTCATATGGAAGGGCAAAATATGCACCCTGCAAAGGGTCCCTGTGTCCTTGGTGATCCCATCTGTTGCCCTCATGATATGCATTGTGCTACCACTTAACGTTTCTCAAACAACTGGATCAAAATACATAATTTCAATTACGCTCCCCACCCCCAAAAAAACCACCCTCTTAATTTCTTTAGTGTGCAAGAGGAACACCGTTCCTTGCTGGGCCAACAACATGCAAGCTTTCCCTTCAGCTTCAAACTGAGTTTTTAGAGGCAGAACTCGGAAATGCCTTCCTTCCAACATAATAGGTGGGATCCAGAGAACTCTTGGCAGGCAGAAAGAAGCTGCTAGCAGAACGTTGCAAAGGTCTGTGCAAAAATCCATTCCAAATCTCAGTACGTTCTACAGCAGCTCTCGTGCTTACACGAGAAGATGAACATCTTTGGGTTTAGTTTCCCTTTCCCAACACGTCTCCTTCCAAGAGAAAAAGCACTCTCTGCAAAACATCAAGGCAAAGCCAGCAAAATATCACATGCTTCAAGCTGCCAACCCTTTCGCATGGCTAAAAGCTGACAAAAGGGTCCTTCGCTGAGCCCACAAAGGCTAAAAATGCAGCCGCAGCCATGTCTGTTTTCAGACTAAACATTCAACTCCCAGTCATGCTATAATTTATTTCCTTTAAAGCTGTCATGCAGATTGACATAGTGGTCTGAAAACATTAACCCTGATGCTTTGCAATAAGTGATTTCTCCTTTTTTTTCACCCTTAGCAGTAATGATCTATTGCTACTTACTCAAAATCTGTTTCATGCACACATCACAGATAAAACCACAAGGTGCAAACCTCTCCCCCCCCCACCTTCGTCTCAAAAACGTTATATTTAGAGAAGGTGTAAAATAGCTTTCAATTTCATAAACCTTAAGATACCACCCACTGTTAGGAGGAAAAGTCATTTGCAGTATGCTGTTCGCTGGAGAAGAACACCATGGTCTGTGGTTTCCTAGAGCATTTGACTTCGGGCCTTTGCTGGTGCAATGCCCAATAAACTGTGTTCATAGTGTAACCCATCTCCAAGCTTAGTGAAGTCAAAAAGCCTGATTTTAACTAGAAGCCTTATTAATCCTCCTGAAGTACTGCCAAGAGCAAGGACTTAAAGCCAGATTGAAGAGGATGAAGGACAGCAATGGATGCTTAACACAATTTGAAGTTTCTCACTTCCTTATGCATCTATATTAATGTGCTCGTCAATCCTTCTGTTTTGTGGAAATGTATGTCCTCACTTCACACTGCTTTAGTCTCTCTTTCTGTCCCCTGTTCCAGGCCGTTTTATTAAACTTCTTTAAGGGACGTTCCTTACAAGAGACACTTTACACTCATGGGTTGCCAAGTACAAAATGTGCATAGACGCTACCAGATGCAGAGGGCACACACATTTTTGAAACAAGGTAGGTTGTGGTTTTTCACATTAAAGAACTCAAAGAAAATGGGGGTGTCTGGTCCTTTCTGCTTTTTTGACTAAGTATATTGTGAAAGGTGCATTTGAAAACATACATGCAGACTTATAATCCCTAATACAATGCACATTGTACTCAGATTACTTAAACCACAGTTGAAAACATCTCATGAGTATGGCCTTTTATTAAGGCTGTGGTAGTTTTGTAGGACAAGCATTATTATAAGAAAACTTTGTGCTCCATGATTGATTGATTGATTGATTGATTGATTGATCAGTGCTAAAAATGTCATGTTCTTAAAACTGAGTATCCCAAAGAAGACTGTGGATCTTTTCCTCCAGACTTTACAGATGAATGAGGTGACAAAAAAGAGAGACTCCATCAATGCTGAAGGTGTTTGAATAGATGGGGTATTTTATTTTGGAACATGCATCGAGTTAATTATCTCTTTGGGGACCAATTAATAGGGAGTAAACTTCAAGGAACTGAATATGGCCTCTTTCCTAAGGATACAAGTCCGGCCAAGTATGTTAAATTCAGTTCAGCTTTTGTTGATGCTCAATTGCAGAGGTCCCCAAGCTTTCAGCTGACAATCAACAATAAGTGATTCCTTATGTTCGTCTCCATTTTGCAAGCAAACCAGACTGCAGAAAGCAGAATAACTCTGTAGAATGCCATAATAAAAAAATACAATACTTGGGATTCATATAACACTTTCTGGTGTTCAAAGATTTTCTCACACTCTATCTGGTTATAATCCTAACAACCCTGGATGGTTGGTTAGTGTTATGGTCCCCGTACCCAATTCCCAGATGTGGGGCTAAGGCTGAAAGAGTGTGGCTTGTCTACATCTACGTACCGAGTCCCCAGCTAATATGAGATTTGAAGTAGAGACTTACTGGTGATGATTCATAGATCTGCCTCTTATGGAGCTATCCTATGCTGCAATTATGCCAGGGGCAGAGATACTTTGGTTCTGCACCAGTACTGAATAAGTTTTCAGAAGGGAAAAACATGGTAGGAAGAAAAGCATAAAAATGCCACACACAACACTAGCCAATCCTTAGCTGGATTGACTAAACTCGGTGGCTGGAATTCTTTGCATTCCAAGACATTTAAAGTGTAAACACATTCAAGGATTTTCGCTTTTTGTAATCAGCTGCTACATGGTGTATCAGTTCATTATTTGTTTCTTTTCTTTTCTTACATTTATATCCTGTCTCTGTTCTGTAACAGAACCCAAGGCAGTCTACATGTTGTTCCCAAGTTAGTCACCCATCCAGAAACTCACATCCAGAAAAATCACACCCACTTAAGTTTCAGCAAGATGGCGGGCTCATGCGCCTTCAGACCATATACCCTGGGACTCAATTAGCTGTGTCAGCTTTGTCTGGAGTTCCTCACATTCACTTCTACATCTCTGTTTACTTCAGTTGTCAAGGACAATTTCACCTCCTCGTTATTCTCTTACGTTCCTACGGAGCCAGCCTGCTCTTTGACCCTGTCACGATGTTTTGTACATGTGATTCCCCCCACCTGCATTCTGAAATCATACATTCCACAAGAGAGTCACATCCAATGGCCCTTTGGATTGCATGCTTCAGCTCTAAATCCTTAGAAAGCTTCGGCACTGGCATGCAACCTAAGAGGCAGAATCTTCTGCATACAGAAGATGCCAGGGCAGTAATGCTGGCCCCCTTACTGTAATACTCTGGTATTTTTAGAATGCTGGCAAGGAATGTCACATGATGAACAGGAGAACTGCAAAGTACAGTGGCACCTCGGTTTAAGAACTTAATCCATTCCGGAAGTCCATTCTTAAACCGAAACAGTTCTTAAACTGAGGCGCACTTTCCCTAATGAGGCCTCCCGCCGCCGGTGCCTTTCCACCGTTTGGCTTCTGTTCTTAGACCAAGGTAAACTTCTCAAATCGGGACACTACTTCCGGTTTTGTGGAGTCTGTAAACCGAATCGTTCTTAAACCGGACTGTTCTTAAATCGAGGAACCACTGTAGTTAGGAGAAGTAGTGAAGAGAGTTCATTAAGGTGAGGAAGAGAGACTTTTCATTTATTTATAGATATAGTAAATAAATACTATCGCACAGTTACATGGAAATGAGTGTCCCAACTGCATGGAAGCTTGGGCATGAGTCGTTCTTCAAGATGACCATGCAAACATGCAGGTATTTGGAGACAGAGCCTGACCCCAGAGACCAGGATTGTACCCCAACCCAGGAATCACATGATGCCTCCATCATGCAAGTAACAAAGAAAAGTAATATATGGGTTTGCTGTTGCTATTAACAAGTTACTGCATATGGATTACTGATTAATAAAATAGTGTCTATTAATTTTTCTATAATTCTTCACAAGTTTTTTTGACAACAAATGCCTTTGCCTTTTACACATCTGAAACACAACTTGATCCTTTTTGGTAGGTCTTGAAACCACTGTATGTAATACTGGAGCACGGCACGACCTTAAAGATGGAAACACTTGACAGCCATCAGTATAGCAACCAAAAAAATAATATTTGCATTTTGACAAGGGGATAAAAAAAACATAAAAATGAGCACGAGACCAATAAAGTAAATATTACTTACAAATATTGGATTAAAATTAATGTATTTGTAAAATTACATCACTGAATACAGAATGTATAGGGAACAATTTATCAATACACTTTCCCTTTAATTATTCTTAGATTAGCTTTATTTAAAAATATATATCCACAGCTAGACATGTAAAAATACTTAGATATGAATTTGAGTTTAACAAACAAACACTGAGATTAGGATCCTGATGTATCTTCAGTCTCAAAATTTTGTTGGAAGATATGCCAACAAAAAGACCATTGTCAGCAAACTCCCTTGTTGCAGGAAAAAGTAAGGTCGACCAAGCATTCTGTGTCCATGTGCCAGCCATAATTTAATATGCAAAGATAACATACTACCAGCATATTTGGCTTGTAAATGTCTCCACACAGGTTTTATTTAACAGTATTTTGGTTCTAATTTTTCGTGGTTTATAAGGGTAAGTGAAAATTGATTTAGCTAGAGACACAAACCTAATATGTATTACAGATCTGTCAGTACATACATTTAATCTAATGACAGTATGCCTATTTTTGTTTCAGTTTTTTGTTCACATCAAGATTATACACTTCAGACAAGCAGTG